AAAACAATGTGTCTTTGCATTTGCTGCTGTTTCTTGCAAAATTTGCGATATGAATGAAACACACTGATAAACTTTACAAACCTCACATTATATTATGTTTGTACGGCATAAAATACGCCTTAGATCAATTAGAACTTTTTAAAATAAATCACCTCTGTAAGGAGTTCTTTGATAATTCATTCCGCTGGCGGATGCCTAAGTACCATCATTTGTTACACAGTGAAGCCGAAAAAAGTTGCTAAATTATACTAATATTTTTTGACTGCAAACCTAAGAACATGCCTTTTCTTCTTATTGCGACCATTTGAATTACTTTTGCTCAACGTTAGTCCCCGTTCAACGATTATGAATGCACGACAGTGTGGATATATGTGCACTGATAGTTTGCTGAAGATGTTAAATTTTGCCGTTCCATATCTGAACCGGGTATGTGCCTGACTGCATAAAAAGTAATATTTAATATGCTCAAAGCTGGAAATGACAGTTCGGTGGTGATCGATCCTGCGACAACACGTAGTAATTTTCAAACGGCAAAACAATTTTAGCCCATTGAAATGAAGGATTGCCTGCGTGCGTTATTACCGCACTTTACGGACAAGGATCGCACAGATCTGCTAAACTGAATTCTATAAATTAACAAACCATCTAGTTCTCTTAAAATAACCTTTGTTTAGGGAAGTTGATTACCACGGTTACCATCGGACAAAAAAATAATTTTTAAATCCAGAAACCCCTGTTTATTAGAACTCTTTGGAGAAAATTAATGTCCTTCCAATGAAAAACCCCCTCAGATGGGCAAACGAAGTCCAAAATAGGTATTGCCCGAGTATACCACCAAGTCCATTTTTGACCGAATTTATGAGCAGTTCTCTTAAAAAATTACGTGAACACAATTTATACACAAGATGAGGACATTTTCTAAAGGAGGCTGATTGGGCAAGCAAAACGCGCAACGTTTCAGATATCCTGAATTCTCATATCAGATTCTGTTTCCAGGTTTTATGAGATAGATCATGTACTGTGCAAAACACAATCGTCGAATAACCGTTCGTAGACACTGAAAGCCGCAAATCATCCACCCTTATTTCAAGATAATCAAGGAACTTAATAAACCTAAACATCGACATTACAAGATAACCAAGGAACTTAATAAACCTCACCATCGACAGAAAATTTTTGCAGACAAAGCATTCTCCCGCTTAATCACCTACTGACAGAACTTCATGTGACATTTTGGTGGATGTTATTGCGGTAAAATACCTGCCTTCAGGATCTAATCATCTACACTGTCAGTCAATTTTAAATCAAATAATTTTAAGATGGGCGATTTGTACACAATTACCAGAAAACGATTGCAAGTTTTAGCTTATGACAGGTAACTAAATACTCGACTGCATGATAAACTAATTCTTAACGGATATCATCCTTGAGGATTGTATAAAGAGGTGTTGCAAACATCCGTGTGTTTTAACTGTTTTGTAACTCGTTTATTTGCAAAAACAAGTTTATGATTCGCTTGTCTTTATACAAGAACAGCGAGGGCCAAATCGCCTGTGTGGAACGCGCAGACGGGCCGTTTAAATTTGCCGAGTCACCTAAGTCGTCTGGACATCGACCTGCCCACAGAGCAGAGGGAGGAAGATGTGCGGTAGATGTTGGGCAGGTCCGCTTCACTGTAAGCTAATACCTCCGCAATTCAGTCCTTTGCTGAACGGACTGTCTGCCAAGTCCCCCACGATTTCTGCGTTTGAGGTTTTCTTGGAAATGTTGTTCAACCCGTACAAACATTTAGAGGTGCATTTACTGAACAACAGGCTCCAATTGGATTAAGTGGCGCAAAACACGCAGTCTGGAACTGTAATATTAAGAATATTAGAAGAACGCGGAACTTGTGAGGACTTTTTTCGGAAAATAACTAAGCTAATACGTCCGCAATTTAGCCCGCTTCTGGGCCGAATCTCTGGGGTAGCGGTGTCGAGTCTCCCACGAGTGCTGTGTTTTGAGGTTTTCTTCGAAATGTCGTTTACTCCGCTCAAACATTTAGAACTGCGTTTACTGAGCAACAGGCTCCAATTCATTGCGTTTAGAAGAGGTGGCGCAAAGTACGCAGTCTGGAACTGCGAGAACGAGGATGTTAAAAGAACGCGTAACTTATAAGCAACTTTTTTTTCGGAAAATGAAGATTTTTGACAACAAGTAAGTATTTAGTGGATAGAGTTTTCCTTGGTGAGTCACTTTCAGCAGATGCGTCCCCTTTAAGCGGTCATAAAATCAGATTGTAGAGAGACACGCGATCTGAAAATGATCGGGCATAATGAGTGGACGTTGGCCAAAGGGTGTTATGCGCTTGGAACGCAAAGCGTTAATCCACATTATGATGGCACTATCAGATGCTCGTTAGCATGTGAATGTTGCATGATTTTTGCCCGTCCGACTTCGTCATTCTTACTTCAGCCAGCGGCGCTATTTTTCGATACGCTTACACATTCGTCGCCTTCCGGCCAGGTTTTTTTGTAAATCTTCACTGCGGCATAGCATTTAGCCAGAAAGTGGTCATAATGTTTTTGTCTATAAAACAAATCTGAAGCGCTGGTTGGAATTCGGGAATGCGTTTTCAGCTAGAAGAGATTCCTGAGACGGCTTTGTGATATTTATTATCGCACGCCATAATCCAGTCATATTTTGGACACCCGGAATTTTAACTTTTGAACGCGCTGTTTTGCGACCGCGTTTAAAAAATGCTCTCGGAACAAATGACTACCTACATAGTATATATTTTAGGATTGATTGTTTATCGGTGCTATAAATTCAAGCATGTGTTGTGGAAACTATGTAAAAATATGCTTTCGTTTACTCCCTTGGCAGCACATCGCCAATTTTTCATGCCGAGAAAAGAATATATGTGGTTTGAAGAAGTGTTCGATTCTCGAAAGTGTAAGCCCCTACAAGACGCTGCATTAGCGTTTAGAAAATACAGCGCAAGAATATCATATTTTCATCTATGCAGTTGAAAAAGTACCTTGTAGAATCTACAATATTTTGTAATGGATGCGCAAAGTGTCGCATATTTTACGAGAAACGTTCACGAACTAAAAGGTACGGTGCTGCGCAAATGGACGTTGTGCAGTTATAAAAAATTACAAACGCAGACTATTCTAGAACAGAAGAGCAAAGATGGCGTGATATTTTACCAAATGGAAAAAGGAGAACAGGTTTTTGTACATTTTTTTGCAAAATGTACCTGACTTTCATCGGCCACTTAACATAAATGTCACAGTGCATGCTTCTTAAGTAGGATAGTTTTAAAAGCCCTGGTTTTAGAGGATGAATATACGTTTATTTAAAAGCCAACATTCCTACAGGTTTAAAAAAATACTGGACTATGTTGCAGGGCAGTCACCGTTAAAACCCCACTTAAGTAATCGTTTTCAATCTATAAGCCATCCTAGAAATTCGGCTGATATTTCGTGTAATCGGTTACTCCCTGGAAAGCAGAGTAGCACTGAAACATACTGCTCACCAGCAAAATGAACAATCAGAAATAAAACTCGAGTAGCGAGCACATTGTACTGTTTGAAAAATTGTATCCTTTATGATTCAACCCTCTGGTTCATATAATACATTGTATAAAACGTACCATCGTTAAACCAGTAGTAGGTAGTAGGTAGGAAATTCTCCTCAGTGGATTTCTCGGCATACAAGTAAGCACATAAGGCGTGGTGCATGCACTTGGACAACATTTAAGGTAGCATATGGACTCTGTATTGCCTTACAATTACATACCAGCGTGTTGTATAACAAAGATGGCGATAAATCCTATAACTTCTATGCTGACCTAGCCACCAAATACATTCTATTGAATGTAGGCAGAATGGTATTGCCGACAAAGACAAGGGAGACTGGAATGACCATTTTTGGCTTATTAGGCGTCGTCCCGATCGAAAACCGACAAGGCAACGGGCTCGTGGCCCAGTGAGTAGAGGCGTTGACTTCTAAACCAACAGGTCGCGAGTTCGAGGCTCGGGTGTTCCACACTTCGGGCTTGGGTATGGCTGGCTGACGACGGCTAATAAGTCAGAAATGGCCATTCCAGTCTCCCTTGTCTTTGTCGGCAATACCATTCTGCCTTTATATCATGCGCCGCTGTGCGGCTGCTGGTTGGGCTCGAGAGAGAGTCCATAGGGCAGAACGGAACGAGTGAGTTCCGTATGAACGATCGGTGAGCGCCCCCTAACATTCTATTGAATGTCTTCGATTTTTGACACTGAATGCCCACTAATTTAACCATGTTATCAACACTCAAGTCATATGCTGCCAACTATGTTGGGAATGCGTTTGCCGGTAGGGTTGCTGGATACGCTTGACCGCAGGCTACCGCAGAGGCGTTAGCAGAGTGAGAAGAGAAAGATTGTCATCAAGGTCAACGAAGACTGGAATGGACATTTCCAGCCATTTAAACCACAGGTACCCATTCTAAGTCTGAGTGCCTGTGTGTATCGAATTTACTTTTGTGGTCATCAGACTTTAGTAAGTCGACGCCCTACTATTTCAAAAATAAGTCCGTTGACTGTAAAATTACTTTATGTGTTACGTGTACTAGAACAAAATTTTCCTTAGATTCTGAGGTGCAAGATGCGTCCTTCTCGTAGCTTACATCAAGCAAAGTCTCCTTCTTCAAGTCTACTTCCTGGGACTCGTCTCTTCGCTTCTATTGGCAATGTATTTGGGCGCGATGCGCTCCGATCGGCCCGGCGATGGGAAACATTCGCCCTTCGGAGGCCTCTACATATTCGCAGATCCGGTTTCTGCACATGTCTCTCGAAAATAATGTGTTACCGAAATGTGTTTCATATACGCCACCGGTTAACACGGATTTGGCGAGACGAGCAGTGTTTCAGCACGGCAGAAGGATGGTCCGAGTGCTCCTCCAACATCGCCGCGCGAGACTTCGTAAGTACCGTCAAAGGATTGACCAAGAAAAAACCAGATGCTGTGAGTTCATGGGTGAGATCGGTACAAATCTGCTCCTGCGGAGGATAGCTGAACAAGCCCGCGAAAAAAGCATAATACGCGACGCAGCATTGGAGAAAAAATTTCGAAAGCTGCCCAATCCAACGTCGCCCAGAAACGACAAACGGGTGCACAACCTGTCATCAAAGGAGCTGACGAAGGATCAGCTGCAGCTTTTACGGCACGAAGCTTCATTTAACACGGCTGACGCCAAAACTGTTAACATGATTGCAGCAGTGGAATCAATCCTTTGTCAGAAGGAGACAACGGAGGAGACTAAGAGTCTCATCCGACACCAAGTGTCGTCTCTCCTGATAGCCCGCAGGCCGCGGGAAGTGATTTTCAAGTTCGAACGTAATGCGCTTAGAGAACTCAAGGCCGACAAAGGACGCGCCACAGTTGTACTGGACAGGACAGACTACCTTCAAAAAGCCAAAGGTTTACTGGAGGACCGACAGTTCTATGTCCCATGTGCAACGAAACCTTTAATAGCGCTGACACGCGAAATCAGTGCTACGTTGTTGGCCCTGGAGAACTCAGGTGCAATAACACCGACCGACAGACGCATGGCGAGACCCCAAGATACGGCTTTGGCTCGATTCTATGGCCTCCCTAAGGTGCACAAAGACAGCGCTCCTCTCCGAACCATCGTGTCGCTCAAAGGGACTCCAACGTACGGACTGGCTAAGTGGCTGTTCCGGCGTCTTAAGTTCCTGACCGCTGAGTCAGACACCACGGTCTCTTCGTCAGCACAATTCCTGGAGAAACTCAAAGGTGGTAAGCATCCATTCAAATGAGGTCATGGTATCTTTTGATGTTACATCCCTTTTTACTTCTATTACCCAGGACCTGGCGATCGAGACGATTGAGCTGCTACTACAAAACAAATTCGATAAAACGGAAAACCGTCTTGGACACGACCAAGTCCTTCAGCTCCTAAATCTCTGTCACTGGACGTACTTCACGTTCGACGGGACAATTTACGAACAGGTGAAGGGCACACCAATGAGTTCGTCGATTTCGGAATTCATCGCCGAGGCGGTCCTGCAACGGTTAGAGTCGCTGGTCTTCCAACCTCACAAACCAAAATCCTGAGCCCGGTATGTGGAGGATACCTTCGTCGTCATCGAATTGGATCAGGTGTTAACATTCCAACAACATCTCAACGCCGTCTTCCCGGTCATTCAATTTACAATGGAGGAGGAAGAGAACAACCAGCTGGCCTTCCTGGATGTCCTCGTATGCCGCAAAGATTGTGGTGAACTAAAAACCAAAGTGTTCAGGAAAGCGACAAATACGATGCAAGTACTGAATTTCAACAGTAAACACCCAGTCAGCCACAAACGCAGTTGTGTAAGGAAGCTCTATCGGCGTGTCGAAACGCACTGCAGTGAGCCAGAAGACAAACTTGTCGAACTACAATACCTCCGACGGGTCTTCAAAGCCAATGGCTACCCGCGCAACTTCGTCGACCGGTGCATACGCAAAAGGGACGAAAGGCCTAACCGCACGGACACCAAATCGTGGCGGGCACTTCCGTATGTCAAGAACGTTTCGGAAGCTGTCGGCCGCCTTCTCGCACCACTTGGGGTTGGAGTGGCACACAGACCGGAGGCAACCATCAGGCGTCTGGTCATGAAACCGAAAGACCCACTGCCACGGCTAGAAACGTCTGGATTTGTTTATCGGATCTGGTGCAGTTGCGGACAAAGCAACTACGTCGGAGAAACCGGAAGACAGTTCCAAACGAGAATATCCTAACACACGGCAGCGGTGCGCAGAAATGACGCCAGCTCCCAAGTTGCGGCTCATTCAAAGAGATCCGGCCACGCATTCAAATTCGATGAGGCCGAAATTCTCGCAAGAGGTGACAACCGCGTAAGCCGGGAGCTACTTGAATCATTGTTTAATGGCCCCCAGCCCATCAAAAAGTGCAACGATCTTCCCGCTCCATACTGCGTGCTAAAACTTCGACTAGGCGGAGTAACAAGCCATGCGGGGAGCTGAGAGGTGAACACTTTTCCCAACACCGGGGTCGATGCGTCAGATGGTCGAGCAATCATTACGCCAACGTCCAATGCACATGATGAAATTGCTGCAATTATCGACTCGTATGTCGGCCATCAAGCAATGATCACACCAAGTGCGACGATCCCGGATGAAGGGGGGAGCCGTGAATGTTCATAGGCATGCGGTAGCATGGCTACTGCGTCCTATAAATACCGCAGCCCCTTGTGCAACAATCACCTGTTCCTGCTTTTTGTCTCTAATGATAGATTCGAGTAGGAATCCGAAACTTCAGGCTGATAAAGCGCTTGCCTCGGCGATCGTGTCTCCTTCTTAAAGCAAAGTATTTTATTTCGTGGGCGATTTATCTTAACTGTATCGTATATGGCGGGACCTAAAATAGGTTTCTGGCATCCTCCTCGTGTTTTGATACGCTAACATCGTCCAAAACGCAGATCGGAGCGTGATTTTTAGTAAGAACGGTAATTAAATGATCGCTAAATTTACTGCATTATAGCGTTAGTGAAAATAAGAGTTTGAATGTTTAGCAAATAAAGGCTGGCAGTCAGCCATATGGTGTTCGAGAAAATCAGCATTGCATGATATATCTCACATACAATCGGATAGGTTAATCCAAATACAGTTAATTTTGCAAGGTTTCGATGAAAAAAAAATAATAACGGGTAAAAACGAGTTAAAAACAAGAATTTGTGGTTGTATATTCAAGGGCAACACTTCATTCATAGACTTTCGGTGATAATCGTTTGCTTGAGGAACAAAAGTCTGCTGTTACCCACCTCCGCAGCCCAACACGTATATTCCCGCTCCCACAAGGAGCATGATGAATATAATATGGTTGTTGTGCAGGAGGACGGCGGACTTTGCGAAGATTCGTTTTTGTTTACTTTTTTAAGTAAAATGTCAAAATGTCTTGCATACATATGCATAGGTATTTACAGAGTACTTAACAACGTATGGTGGCCGGCAAATTGGTTTGCATGTTTTTTTCGAAGTTTGTGTAATGAACGTTTTGATGAAATTTTTCTGCAATATGTAAAATTGTTCTCCACAGACGAAGAGAAAGTAAGTAAAATGTCAAATTTTAAACGCATAGCGGCTTGCAATTTGGTTTTTATGTTTTTTTGAAATTTGTTTAATGCACGTTTTTTATGGTACTTTCTGCAATCTGAGAAATTAGCTCCCCACAAAAAGAGAGACAGGAAACATAAATGTGGGACAAAAATGACGAAATCGGAGCCAAATCCCATGAAGAAAATCTCCAACTACATTTTCCCAACGCAAACAGTAGACGAAGATATAGATGGTTCCTCTGCTTATTGGTCTCTTAAAACTTTCTCTGAATAGTATTACACATAAAAAACGCATAGAATCCTTTGAACATTAACTTTGTTCTTTCTCCCAGTACTATGCAATAATGCACTGCTCGAAGACCAACCGCACAAAATGTTAACTAAGATTCCGATGTTCAATTTAGATAAGAAAATGAAAGGTAATTGAGTTTGCATTGTCAACGAGTATAAAATATCCTAAGTACTTTCATTCTCGGCGTTCGAAACCATTTTATTTTGGCCGATTGCAGGGACCAAACTCGAAAAGGAAACCGTTGAATTGGTGTAATATTGTTCGATTGACACACAATGCTTTTTTCCAGTTAAATATCATTCGGACAAAGCGCAGGCGTTTGCAAAGAAGTTCTTGCTTGAATGCACTTCGTAGCAACGTCCGATCTCATGAAAGGTTGGCTGAAGTTTTGAAATGGGTTTGTAATCGGAATAGCTTACCTAGGTAAGATTCCAATATTACTTAACGCGCAGTATAATCCATTAGTATTTTCGACTCGTCAGTAAGTTGACTTTTAATGCACTTCTTGTTGACCTCATGTCAAATCACCGCCAGTTAAGAGATGACTACCTAAATAATATGTACTTTTCGTATTAATTTTCTATGACCTTAGAAATTCAGGTATTCTTTTTCAAAAAAACTTGCACAAAAATATGCTTTCGTTTATTTCCTTAGTAAAAAATCATATTTACGTAACGGTTGCTATCAAAGATTGTGTATGTTTAAGTTTAAAGGGTTCCTTGATCCCCGAAAATATTTATGTCAAATCAGCCATTGCATTTCCGTTAGGCGGTTTTAGTCTACATTGCGTATACTTTCTGTGTAGAGAAAATTATATGTTCCCTTATGCCTTTAAGCTAGAAAGAATTTTAAGGGATACAGATTTAAGTGTAAACTTCATGAGGGGCGTAAATAAACAGACAGGAACAATTCCGTTGGGTGACCATTGCACAATCTTAATGATTCTCATAAATAAAAGGCTTTTTAGGACAAAATGCTCTTTTTTCAACCATAAGGTGTCAAAAATACATGATCGGCTGTCAACTGCGCGCCAAATATGTATCATTGACCATTGTTTCTACAAAAGATGTATGAATCTCTATGACCTTAAAAAATAAATATTAAGATGCGTGTATTTTAAGTAGTTGATTTTTGTTGAGATCATTTATTAAAAAAAGGTTGAATCACGTAGGGACAATTTCGTTGGGTGACCATCGCACGGTCTTAATGAATCTTATAAATAGAAACCACTTTAAGACCGAAGGGTCAAAAATACATGATTGTCTGCCAAATGCGCGTCAAATGTGTATCATTAGCCATTGTTTCTAAGAAAGGTGTATGGATTTATAAGACCTTCAGAAATAAATATTAAGATGCGAGTTTCTTAGGTAGTTGATTTTCGTTGAGTGCAGTTTTTTAAAAAAGCTTAAATCGAAATACAGTCATAAGCAAACATCCTACTAAATAAAAATCATTATAGGATTATGTGTCGTGTGGATTAATATTACAACCTCACCTAGTTACTCCTTCTTGATTAAAAACGCATTTCAGAATTTCTAACAACATTTCATGATACAGGTTATTAACTTTACGACTACGTCAAATCAGTTTCTTGATGAATTCTTATATTTACTTTTTAGAATCTTTTGACTTCCGAATGCTTTAAAACCTGATATAAACTTATAACTGTTAACAAAGTGGAAATTGTGCAGTTCTATAAGTCCCCAAAATTCAGAAACTATATTTAAGCCAAAGCGGCGGTCTTTTGGATATTGATTTAAAGAAGAATTGGGTTGTCACAAAATTTGTATGCGAAAGGGTGCCGTCGGCATGCTTCAGTAAAATAGTTTTGAATGTGTATGCTCATCAAAAATCAATAGAAAAAATAGATACTATATATGCAAATATTTTTCGCCAAGTCCCAGTTTTTAAAGGCGGCTGCATGATAGGCCATTAAGAAGATGATACAACGATTGGACCAAAATATTACGGAATAGGGTTGAATGGTAATAATCATACGATCCCGCAGAAGTAATTCTTACTATTTGAAAATACATTGTAGAAGTTTGGTTAAAATTCATTGAGGTCGGTCTTTACTCACATTCATCGGTTACAAACTTTACAAATATTTGAAAAGTTCGTAATTTTTAGGCCGGTTGACCTTATTAAGCACAAACATCTCAATCCGTGAAGAATAATGAAGCATTAACAAAAGGGTCAGTTGAGGTCATAAATATTTGAGGAAAAAAATGTTCAAAGTCCAATAATACACTTCTCTAGTATCCGCTCAAGTCTAACAAACACTACCAAGGATCTTTTTGGGCGCAGATACAGCAGGTGACCAATAATGCATATATTTATTATAAAAGCATTTGAAAGCCTGCCCTCCGCAAATGACTGTCAAGAAAATCAACCGCTGTATTTTGCAACTGTTAAGCAAAGTGTCTCCACTAAATAGAGTGATAGGTGGTAGAAGATAAAATGGTACTTATTTCCTTTT